TCGACAGGCCTTTTGGGTGATGTCCAAAAACAAATCAGTGAGGGCTTGGGCCCAAAGCGGACAATATCTCACCAATGTGAAGACATGTGTATATGTGTGGTAACCCCCCCGATGCATAACACTAGTTTTTTTTTAAATATTCCATATGGTTAATTGCTAATGCTACGTACTTTGGACAAAGAGTTGTTGACGCAAGAACAAATAATATGATGTCAAATTTTTTAATAAATTTGGGTTGACCCTACACACACGAGTTTGGATTTTACATACTCTCTTGATAAAAATCGATTTAAAACACGCATTCCAAATTTCAATATTTTTTAAACAAAAGTTGCCCTGATATTATATTAATAAATACACTACTAGAAAAATATCTTTCTTCTACGAATTTTTCTACAAAAAATATTTGCAAAATTTTTTTACGAATTTTCTTGCAATAATAATTTCACAAATTTTTTTTACAAATTTATTTGCGAAAATTAATTAGAAATATTTCTTAGAAATTTTTTTATGAAAAATAATCTACAAGAAATTTTTGCAAATTTTTTACAATTTTAATGATCATAAAATTTTTTTTGGCTAAAACCCTAATTTGGTCCTTTATAATATTAAAAATTTTTAATTTAGTCCTAATTTACTTTAAAATACTTTAATGTGGGATTTCTATCCAAATTTCACAAACGATGTTAAAGATCCGTGAGAATCACGCCCGTGATTTCAAATCACGCCCGTGATTTCAAATCACAACCGTGATTCTCACGCTTGGGAACCAATCAAAATGTACTATACTATTCTTTCCATGAACGCCCCACTCTAGTCACCACCTTCGCTCCTGCCACCGCCACCGCTTCCTCTCCCCGCTCCCCTCTGAAGACGTCGACGCAGCAAACGACATCGTTGTGGACCACCACGACAACGCCTTCTTGACAAACTTCAGCAGAAACTTCATCTAAAAGGTATTCGTCAATGGATCTGTGTCGATCTCCGATGTACACGGAGACAACAAAGAATCCTTCCGACGACGACACACCTTACAGTTCTGTAGGGCTGAACGGAATCACCTACGTGAGCAAGGGATACCTCCTGGTGGTGCAATTGAGGACATGGTGGACAACACAACGATGAAGGTGATGCTAAACGAGGATCTGGTGGGTGCGAACGACATCGCAGTGAGGAAGGAAGACATGGCGACGACGGTTTCACCGATAAAGATGTTGTGGTTGATGAAGAGCGAGGATAACTGAGCGGAGGGAGCGCGACAAGGTGGAGATGAATGTGCGACGATTTCTGACATCGATGGTGATCAGAGATAAGGATAGGGTTTATGTGTGTGAATGGTGAGCAAATTGACCTTCTAGAAAACAAGAACGAAGAATGCCCTCTCTCACCAATATTTAACACCAGGCGTGAGAATCACGGTCGTGATATGGAATCACGGGCGTGATTCTTATGGACCTTTAACACCGTTTGTGAAATTTGGACGGAAGTCCCACATTGAAATATTTTGATTAGAATAAATTGGGACTAAATTGAAACTAAAAATTAAAATGAGACCAAATTAAAATTTTTTAATATTATAAGAGATCAAATTAGGGTTTTAGCCAATTTTTTTCCATGGTAAAAATTTGTAGAAAATGTTGTAAGAATTTTATTTTATTTCTTGTAGATTTTCTTGTAAAAATAAATTCGCAAGTAATGTTTACTAAATGATAGAAAAACTTTGCATGTTGTGACACCCTCTACCCCAACATACATATACAATAATTATAAAAAAAAAATAAAATAAAATAAAATTTTTCATCATTAAAAACCAAATTTCCAACTACGTAAGGGTAAAAAGCTCACATTCGTAAACTTAATCCAAGTAACATGCCCGTAAAATTACAAAGAAATAAAACTGAGTTTTCCAAAATAATTTAATAAGAACATCTTAAACTAATCCTATCTATACCCCGATGTCACATGTCCTATCAGAGCAAAGCCTAATATAGAAGCCTAAGCTTCATCACCAACATCCTCAGCCTCACGCTGATGATCACCTGTATAACAGTCAAAGAAAAACAACACGAGAAAAGGGAGTGAGAAACATCTCACTCTGGCTCACAGTGTAGAAATATACGCCGAATAGCCAAACACAAACAAAACAGGTATAACATAGATAAATTAACAACAATATTACATCTCACTTATCCAATACATAAAAATATCAATTTATCATATAACATTTAAAATGCACATGTATGCACACAGACTACATATTATCATGCATGTGGCACCAATAAAACATCACATGGCATATTGCCGCTAGCAATGCACGAAGAGTAGTCTAGGAGTACATGTCAGGTCACACCCTCTGCGCACTCTCACTAGAAGGACATACTACCAGGGCCTTGTCAAGATAGATAAGCCGCACAAGATACATCTCATGCACTCAATAGGCGAGACTGAGACTTCCAAACCAAGCTATCCGCAAGGACTAATCCCCAAAGCTTTTACACTACGGGGTCTTCCCTAGCGGTGTATTACATATCATACCCTTAAAAACATTTATGCAAATGATGCATGTCAACCATGACTCTATGCATTCTCATATAACATTGTCATGTCTCATTATCATATCACATCATCATGTCTCATTATCACTTTTCACATCATCTCATCATATTCACATAGTCATCACTTTTCACATCATCTCATCATATTCACACAGTCTCTACAAAGCACTCAAAATCATATCAAAACTGGTCTATTTTAAAAAATAAACACATATTTATACATCTCATTCAATAAGGAATACATCAGAACAATTAGAAAGTAAAACAGAAAATATTCATATTTTGTCTGTTTCTCATAGGGTTTTCACAGGAACCCACATAGCATTCTAATTCATACAATAAACATTTAAAATAATACAAGTAACTCATACAATTACCTCTTCAAACCATCTCCTCTTACAATCACCAATGCATTCCCTTAGGATTTCCCATAGGAACCCATAGAGATCTCAGATCATACAATTAATTACATATAAGAAAAATAATAGGCGAAACAGATACAATTGGGAAAAACTCCTCATACATGAGCATACAACAACTACAACAAACATGCCACCGTCCGTTTCGGCGGTGGCGACACTGATTAGTGGGTTACTCGGATAGTGATTGGTGTGGAGATGTTGATGATCGGAAAAGTACGTCGGGTTATGTATTCTTACTCGGGAATATGGCTTTTACTTGGCTGTCAAAGAAGCAGCCCATTGTAACTCTGTCAACCTGCGAGGCCAAGTACGTGGCGGCCTCTTAGAGCGTATGTCATGCAGTCTGGCTTTCAAATTTACTAAGGCATATGGGAGTGATCCGAGATGAAGGGGTTGTGATCCGAGTTGATAACAAGTCGGCGATCGAGTTGGCAAAGAACCTGATTAATCACGGAAGGAGCAAGCATATAGACGTCCGATTTCATTTCATCCGAGAATAGATCAGAGAAGGAAAAGTCGAGTTGGAGCATGTCGACAGCCGAGCTCAAGCTGCGGACATATTCACCAAGCCACTGCCAACTACACTGCTGGAGAATTGTAAAAGGCTGATTGGAATGAGAGATGGGAAAAATATTTAAGTTTAAGGGGGAGATTTGTTATAAAACTTAAATTAGGAGTTTTATTTTGCTTGGTATTCCTAGAATAAATGGTTTTAATTATGGGTGGCATATGAAGATGCAAACGTTTTTTTTTCCTTTCTGCTATAAATAAATGTAAAACTTCACTTGAAAGATGAATGAGAAGAAACAGAGAGTTTATTGCTCCCAATTTTATGCCTTATTTGTTGTTAACATTAATATCCATTAGCCAAACAAGGAACACACAACAAATTTGTCCTGAAACAGGTTTAGCCACTTGTTGCCAGATTTTCGATAATATGTGGCTCATTCAGTACCTGACCTCCTACTTTCACGATGAAAAATCTCAAGGTAATAAGGTGCTCCTTCCGATGCAACCAGTCCAGCCAATCATTCTTCATTTCTTCTAGATAGTCAATTGTTGAGCTTTGGAGTAAATAAATGTCCTTGTTTTGTGTGAGTGGTGATTTCAATTACCGAAATAAGAAAAACTCAAAAAAATCTTCAAGGGTTCAATTGTATGGCATCTCCCTAGGAGATACTACTGTACAGTGATGGTGGACTTAATTGTTGGAGGGATGTGCAATTACAGATCATGAACAGTGGACTCCATTTTTGGACAGTCTTCATTTTCTGTGCAAGCAACCTCCTAGGGGTTGTAGTACCAAAAGAATACATTGCAGTCAATGTTGGAGATACATTGAGGTGGTTTGTAATTCAATTTCTATATCATACTTGAACCAACTTTCTTTTCAAGCATTACTATGGTAGAAGAAGAATTTGAACATGAATATCCAATGGGTGTCTCACAGTTACATTCACGGAAGATGATTTCCCATGCCTCACTTCTTGCTTGATCAGGCTGTAACTATTGGAGTATGAAAGATCATATATTTCGCTGGGTTAAATTTGAACTGAGTGAACTTTCATTCATTTTTAAGATTTTCATCTTATATGGATGAGAATACTGTATCAAAATATTGTTAATATTTGGGATGACACTTTTATAACATAAACGAGTCAATTGTAAAGGTCCTATGGTTTTGTTGTTAAGGAGAGTTTTAATGGGAAGCTGTGTCATAAAATTCCAAGTTCATTTATCTATGCGTGATGAGGGTCTTGGCACCCCAAAAATTTAATTTTGTATGCATGTTGCGCAATGTAACTAATAAGCCAAAATATGCCACTTGATTAGTGGAATTCATTGTTATTCATTAAAAAAGAGAGAAAAAAAAAGGTAGGAACAAAGTCGTCATTCTAATGGTCTTTTCATTTTTCCAATTTCACAAAAAAGTGTTATCTTTACATATTGAGATGACTAATGTAAAATATGTCTATACAAATTACAAAGTTTGGTCAGTCTTCTACACTACTTGGACTTGTAGTCAATTCAAGGTTGAAGTTATGTCTTGGAAGACCTCTACGCTGCATGGAATTGTAAGCCCAACCATTGGATGATCATACCCAAACTCTTCCTCTGCTTGACTCAACAAGTCTTGGAATGAAGGCTGGATCAAGTATGAAATGGGGATCACAAACCGCCTCATTTTCTCTCCAACGTACACTGCAAGATAGCCCTTTGGTACCTCCATAGCTTTAGAAGATGCTTGGTTTGCAGCTACTGATGCCTTTCGGATACCAGGTAAACGAAAACCCATTGTTGTATTCTACTTGTGGAGACTTGAGAAAAAATTTGTCTAAAAAAGACTTGAATGTTATGGTTTGTGAATTTTGAATGCTTCAGGTTGTGAATGATTTCACTTGGTTCTGAAATGTTAGCAAGTACCAATATATATAGATATAAGGATATGGGAGAAGGCTACTTGAATTATTTGTGATGGAAGGCTATTAGATAGGAGTCATGGGACCAGTAGAGAGACAAAAGCATATGGTTATGTCTTAGAGGACTGTTCCATGAAGCAACCTAACATACTATTATAGATAATAGAAATGCAACCATTTGAAGTGAAAGCCATCAGATTATCCCACTTGAAATAAAACACAAGTTTCTATGTAAAAGAAAGAGTAATTGGGTGATGTTGACACTTATTTATGGCGGAGGGGACAACAAGCTTCATGCATGCAAGTTCACATGGTGGTGCTTAAAATTTCACGTACAAAAGAAATTGTGGTTCAGCGTGCCTTCTGATCATGTGTTCAATATCAGTTATTTTGTTACCTACAATTCCAATTAAGTCTGCTTATGTGTAGAGGTTGCTTCCTCTCACTCTGCTATTAAGCTGGTTTTGGTGGATGATAGATATATATCTATACCATTATCAAATATAAACAGTAACATGTGATATGTCTAATGCTTGTCTATGATTGAAACAACTATAGCATAATGAATGAACAAGCATCAGCTAGATTTCAGAAGGTGGGGTATGCAGTTCTTTTGAACTTCTAAATCATTGAAAGAGATCTCTGAGACAATACCATGTGATCCCTTGTTTGTTGGTAGACATCGTTGAAGCCTTTCCGAAATCCATTATTTGTGGTATTGGATTGCAGAGGCCATTGGAAACTATATATATAGAACATTTCTTCTTCTCTCAAGCAACACAAGTCATTATACAATTCCCTTGACATCAGTATATTATTTATGGCGTGGAGCAATTGAGAGAAATGGGTTTCGGCATAGCAGGTATTATAAGACGGACATCGTTTTCTACAATCCAAGCTGCCTCCAAGGGTGTTGAAGTACCAAAAGGCTATCTTGCAGTATATGTTGGAGATAAAATGAGGCGTTTTGTGATTCCTGTATCATACCTGAACCAACCTCATTTCAAGAATTACTTAGTCAAGCCGAAGAAGAATTCGGAGATGTTCATCCAACTGGTGGTCTCACAATTCCATGCCAGGAGGATGAGTTTCTAAACGTCACAGCTTTCTTGAATTATTTGTAGATCATTGATAGACTATGGCCAAGGCCAAGGAATCCAAGAGGTGATATCTTAAAAGAACCAAGAGGAATGGGATGATATTAAAGACCTTTCATATGTTTGTACATATAGTAGTCTCTTTGTATAGACTTATTTTTGCCTTTGTATTTGTGAGGCACTTTACTTGCTTTTAACTAGTGATTGTATATTGATTTTAGGGTGGGTCTTGGAGCACTTGAAGATTCATCAATCTTCTCCAAGTAGTTCCATCAATCATGCTAACAGATACTGAGATAGATTAGATGAGGATATTTGTACAGAAGACTCTTTCTTCTATTGTAAATATTTTTCAAGTTGTTCTCTTGTAGAATTCCAATTTGAAGTTTAAACCTGTTGCTGAATGAGGATGCAACACAAGATATTGTTTGAACACATTTTATTTTTTTCCAAATCTAAAGGAATTATTCTAATATATAGAAAGGTATCATTATCCAAATTGAATCCACTGATTCTAGTGGAGATATATACCAATCTTGATAATGGTCATTACTGCTGCCTTATTTTATTTCAAAATCCATCCTTGATTCGAGCAAGGAACACCTACACATTTGTCCTGAAATCGTTTTGGCAATTTGTTGTTAGATATTTTTCGATGTGACCAATTTAGTTCCTGAGATCTTGCTTTACTAATATTTTATTTCTACTTCCTTGTGTTAAGCGATTATGGCAAGCGTACCAGTCACATACATAGCTAGTAATAAATAATCATCATTTCTCTAAGGAAATTGTGTACTACAAGGCAATATATAGGTACAATTATGAAAAAGAATATTTTCATTATGTGATATGGATGTGTAAAAGAAATAAATTTATGCAAGAGAAAATAAAGTTCCTTTTGATATTTCCACAGATGTTACTCTTATGCATTTGATCACTCAAGTCCTCTTTCACATTTAATGTTAATGTCAATCAACTAATTTACTCAAACCCTAATTCCTTAGAAGATGGAGCCTAAGTTCCCTTATTAAGCTTTAATTCCTTGTATACTTAATAAACAAAATTGCATTAGTAATAAGGGTTCAAGACAACTAATGGATTATGTTCTATCCTAGATACAAACTCCATTAAGTATTTTGTTTGGTTCTAAATTACAAAAGATATTTTCCAATACTTAATGAATCAAATATCAATTTATGGTTAACCAATTTACAACAAGCTAAGAGTAGAAATAAAATACTAACATTAAAATGGAAAGAAACACACATATACACACACACACACATATCTATCTATCTATCTATCTATATGTGTGTGTGTGTGTGTGTGTGTGAAAAGTACAAATTACATGAAAGTTTAGTTGATTACATCTATAACTCCAATAAGAACGAATTTAGCTACTCATTGTCATGAAGAACACAAAAAAGAAAATAAGGTGAATCATGGAAGATGAAGAACCAAGGAAAAGATTGAAGATATTGCCTATTTTATTTGCCTACTCTCCATGGCCTATAATTTCACGTTTTCCTACTTATTTCGGTTTTCTAAATTTGAACTGAGAACTTAGATATGTGATATTTAAAAATAATGACTTCATTAGTCCATTATCCATCTGCATATATATTTTGGGGATCGACTTCTGTTAGTTTATGAATTATCAATAGTAAAAGCTTATTTGATTGGTAGAAAGAATGGGGAGGCAAATTTATAATGATATATAGGCTTAGTTGAGAGGAAACTAGCTTAGAGGAATAGTTGGAATAGATTTGAGTAGTGGAAATGACTTACTAATTGCTTGGTTACAAATGTTAGGTACATGGCCTATTTATAGGCCTCAACACCACCTTCATGTTTTATGTAGGAGATTCTAGAGATATCTATTTCTAGAGCTTTCTACCTATATGTAATTGTCTACATAATTCTAGAATTTGTATCTAGTAGTTACTAGCATATATATATATTTTTTCTAGAATATTCTAGCTTATTCTAGAAGTTTGTATCACATTTTAACACTCCTCCTTGATACAAATTTCTCTAACTCCTATCATAGTGTAAAATTGTTTGATTCTTGCTCTCAGTAGTGCTTTTTTGTGTCGCAAGAGCTATTAGAGCTCTAATTGTATCTAGGCGGGCTACTGGGGCAAATGTCTCGTTGTAGTCGACTCCAGGTTGTTGTGAATAGCCCTTAGCTACCAACCTTGCCTTGTGCTTTTGTATGGTGCCGTCCAGATTGAGCTTTGTCTTATAAACCCATTTCAGCCCAATGATATCTTTGTCTTTTGGATAGTCTACTAGATCCCATGTGTTATTTTTCTCAATCATTTTTATCTCTTCTTCCACATCCTTGACCCATACGTGTTGATTTGATGCTACTTCAAAGCTTTCAGGTTCAAGTATGGCCAAGTTGCAAGTTTCATATATATCCACCAAGGATCTAACTCGTCTTGGAGTCCACTCTAGTGATGGAGTTTGTTGTTGTGAAGAAGAATGAGGCTCACCTGGGACTTCTGTAGTTTCTTCTTCTGGTTGTTGAATTGAGATAGGAATTTTTTTCTCTACTTTCTCACCATTCCAATTCCAAGCCACATTTTCATCAACTTTAACATCTCGGCTAATAATTAGCTTCTTGGTTTGCAAGTTGTAGACTCGGTATCCTTTTGATTGTGTGTTATAGCCAAGGAAAATACCTCGTATTGTCTTGTCTTCTAGCTTGTGCCTTTTCTTTTCTAGAAAGTGTATGTAGCAAATAGATCCAAATACCCTTAGGTGCTTTGCTGATGGTTTTATTTCCGCTCCAAGCTTCAATCAGAGTCTTATCTTGGACTACCTTAGTTGGGCATCTATTAAGTATGTAGATAGCAGTATAAACTGCTTCAGCCTAAAATGTGTTTGGTAATCCTTTTTCCTTGAGCATCGATCTAGCCATCTCCGTTACTGTGCAATTTTTCCTTTTAGATACTGCATTTTGTTGTGGAGAATATGCAACTGTAAGTTGTCGCTCAATTCCTTCATCTTTGTAGAATTTATCAAACTCGTGGGAAGTGTATTCTTTGCCACAATCACTTCTAAGTACTTTTATTTGTTTGCCACTTTGCTTTTCGACAAGGGTCTTAAACTTCTTGAAAATACCAAAGACTTCTGATTTTGCTTTTATGAAGTAGACCCAAGTCATTCTAGAAAAATCATCTATGAAGAGAATGAAATACCTATTGTTATGGAGTGATGACGTCCGCATTGGTCCACATAGATCTGTATGGATCAGCTCCAACAAGACCTTCGCTCTCCATGCTTTGCCTGTTGAAAACAACAGTCGGTGTTGCTTGCCAAGGAGACATCCTTCACAAGCTTCACTATTCTCCTTTAGGCATGGGAGATCTCTCATCATATTTTTTTTATATAATAACTTTAAGGCATGCATATAAAAGTGGCCAAATCTTCGATGCCCAAGCCATGGGTCGTCTACTTTTGCTTTCATGGAAATGTTAGGGCCTTGTCTCAGGCTTATAGGGAAACTTCTATTCCTCTTCTCCATTTTTACTCAGCTAATCTCTAGCTTTTTATTGTCACATATTTTACATGTGTCTCCGTCGAAATGGGGAGTATAACCTTTCTCCATCATTTGGCCAATGCTTAAGAGATTTTCTTTGAGATTGGGAACTAGTAGAACATTAGTAATAAGTCTCGTACCTTTCTTCGTCTCCACCCTAACTGTGCCTTTGCCTTTTGATTCAAAGACAGTGTCGTTCCCCATTCAAACTTTCACTTTGACGGATTCGTCA